TGATGACGACAAAACCTTGTCGAAACTTTGTACATTTACTGTTATGTTAAACTTATATTCAAGTTTTTCTTTATTACCCACTCAAGCCGTCTCCAACCATTATTAGTCTCAAAGTGAGTTCCTCGTCATCGAATTGGAAACAATCTTAGGTTCCTAGTAACCTCAGTCAGACTATACATTACAGCCACAGTAAATTAGAAAAACTGGGAATTTATCACGTATCTTTCTTTACAGCACCGAACTTGCTGGCAAATTACAGGCGTGTAAGAGAAAAGCCTAATCTGTCACGTAATACTTTTTTTCTTTTATCGTTTTGAAGGTTTGACATTGCATGAACAAACACGTATAATATGCCGCTTAGTTTTACATAAATACAGAGTCAATATCAGAGTTAAACTTCATTTCTTAGTTATCTTTCTGCCTTAAAAAAATATTTTGTTAGTCTGTTGAATTTCGCGCAAAGCTATACGAGGGATATCTATATTAGTCCTCCCTAATCGAATAGTGGGATTGATCGTCACACTATAACACCCAAACGGCTGAAAGTACGAGTATGTTCGGTGATTTGATTCAAACCCGCGACCTACAGATTGTGAGTCGAGAACCCTAACCACCAAAATAATATTTAAAAAATCATTATGTCAAGGAAACATATCAAGGAAATCTTAAAATATGTATAACGTAAAAATGTATACATTCAAAGTACACAAACTCTTAAATTACCAAGTTGATAACGTTTGGAAAAGATATATGGAATAATGTTTGCCAACTATTGATTAACTATGATTAAGGAGGAACATACACATGTTTTACTTAAATACTTTTATTTAATTTTTACATTTTCAAAATTACATTATAATTAATACATAAAAACACATTTTGTAAGAAACGTTTATATATAACAATAATAATCAGATAACAGAGGTTAGCCCCCAGTGGCACAGCGGTATGTCTGCGGACTTCCAACGCTAGAATCCGGGTTTCGATACCCGTTGTGGGCAGAGCATAGATAGCCCATTGTGTAGCTTTGTGCTAAGTTACAAACAAACAAGGAGAGGTTATTATAACCATAATTGACTCCAAGGTAATAAAACCACTTATATAACGCCTAATGCCAACATTTCTCCAAAATAAATGTATAACTATCTCCTTTTGTTACTAGTTTGACAGTCTCTGATTCCTATGCAATCTGTATTTTTCTTAAAATACTTACTAATAGAAATCCACACTTTAACAAAATGTTAAAGTACCTTTCGCTGATTTTTCCCTTTTATTTGGCACTGTAAGAATGGTTTTCAACATATTCATGACATCTAGGACACTCTGCGCACTTAGTAAAAAGAACAATAAAAATTCAACATGTTATGGTGGAACTTACTGATTAGCCGCATTCCCTCTAGTCTATCACTTCGATAGTTAGGGCAGATAGCCCCTCCGTAGCTTTGTGCGAATATCCGAAAGTAACACTAATTCATCAAACCTTAAGAGTATTATTCACTTGGAAGAAGGAAAGCAATATCTTTACAAGAATTATACCATTTTGTTAATTAAAACATCAAACTCTTAAAAATGAATATACTTGTTGTTGTTAGAATGTAATAAACAACAACAAGTGTGTGAGAAATGTATGTCAAAGATATTTACCAAAGCAATTCGATATGTTGTTTACTAAACAAATCACGTAATACTCAAAACTACACCACTCTGTCTTCATCATGTAAGCATAAAACTCATACATGTACAAACATGTATTATAATGTCAGAGAATTTTTATAAGGACACCTACTCTCAAAGATGAAAGAACGGGGAACACAGATTTTTTTTTAACGAAACCCAACACAAATTAGATAATTCCCAGTAGACGTTAGAGGTAGTTAATTGTCCCCTATTAGCCGCGAAAACGACATTACAGAACTACAAGTAGATGTTTTTCTTTCGTATTTTCTGGACAATTTTATGTCGTGTGAACCATGTCTATCTGTAAGAAGTGTTCTTGTATTGTACTCAATCTCAATAAAGAGATGAGTTTTGTGTACTCTAAGACTAGATCGGACGAGTTTCTTAAACTCGTTATCAGAAAGTGATATCCTGGGCATAATTTATCAGTAGCCACAGAGATTTATTAGAAAGTAATATCTCAGGCATAATATAATCTATCAGTAGCCACAGAGATGATTGCCTTCTTGTAATTGCTCTTATAATCTTCCTCGAATACGCCCCCAAGTGGCAAAATGGTATGTCTCATCACAACGCTAGAAACTGGGTTTCGATACCCGTAGTGAGCAGAGCACAGATAACCCATTGTGTAGCTTTGTGCTTAACTCAAACAACAAATCCTCGAGTACGTTTTATTAGATGTAAATTGGTTTGTTTCGGATATACGTGCGGATAACCTTCTAAAACGCTTAATGTGGTTTAATGTGTTTAACTTCGGAAGATTCACATACAAACTTTGCACATTGCAAAGGAGGCACTCCCCATTGCTATGTAAAAAGATTGAAAACAACAAAAATAACAGCAAAAGCTATGTTAAGCGTTTTCCACATTAAGAGCTGTTCTCATTAAGTACGTTAATGTGGTGTCTTTTTCATACAGTAATGGAAAGTGACTCTCTTGCAATGTGCAAAGTTTATATAAAAACGTTTTGAATTTAAACACATTAAGCGTTTTTTCTATATATATATTTTCATATTAAGCGGTTTAGACTGCCCCAGCAAAGCTAGGTAAACGCTATCTACACCAACCGTCCCTTATTCTGAATAGATATACTGGAGAGAAGGCACCCACTGCTAACTATATCGAATAGTGAAATATGACCGTTACCTTTTAATGCACCTACGGCCCCAAAGTGGGGAGAGTGATTATGTGGTAATGGGACGTTCACTACGGCCCTCCAATTCCTAGTTTGGCACACTAACCACTGGTCATGTAAATAAATGTTTAAACCCCAGACACTCAGGAAACATACAACACAAAAGGGGATAAAAGTGCAAGTAAAACAATTTGTTACAGAATCGTACCCCGGATGTTAGTGTTGTAAGTCCGTAAACTTACCGCTGTCCCGCCGAGGGAGAATTTTCACGGAACGTGTAAATAATTAACTTAACTATAGGGTTATAGGGTTTTTATTCATTTAACTATGAGTTGTATGTTTGATAAGACTTTTTGATGAAAATAAATGAAGCCTACCAAATAATTACTTAAGACTACTAAGTTTTATAACTATATTCATTAAAATTTTCTTTTCTGTAAATTTGATGTATAAACTCCTCTTCCAATCTTATATCTCAAAACACAACCGTCGTTATCGCTTCTTATCTATTTTTTAAAGTAGTTAAATTGACTAAAAAAACCTACTATTTTCAAAGCTAATTGTTATCAGTAGCTTCTTGCTAGAGTATACGGAGTAAAATAAAACAGAACGAAGCGTTGTTGCTATGACATGATAATTATTACTATACCACACAACTCTTCTTAATAAAATATACTTTTTAATCAGAAAACATATTCAAGTATTTACTTATCATCATAGCCAAATTTTAGATGAATTAACAAAAACACAATTTATAGATAGTAAAACAATTAATTTAAAGTTTTTAATTTTGCTTTTGTTCATTTGAATTGAGTTTTCAGCCATATCCCGGTAAATACCCAAAATTAACCTGTGGTGGTTTAGCGGAAAGTCTGAGGGTTTATAGTTAAAAACTGGGTAACAATCCTTGCTGTAGCGACCACGTAGATTGCCCATAATGTAGCTTAGTGTTCAGCAACAAAACTAACACTAAATAAATAAAAATTAGTTTTCTCAAAAGCATTTAAAACTATTTGACGTTGTAAACTTGGATGAACTTGAAAAGTTGTGCAGATTTAAGGAA